TCCATAGAGGGACTCTAGCCTCTTACCAGGTTGGTCAGTCCTGACTAGAATCTACCAAAGTCCTTGTAAGGGACCTAAGATGGAGTCCCGTTTGCCGAAGGTACCTGATGCAAAGCAAAGAACCAGCTGCTTGCTCCAGTGGGAGACTCAAACTCTGCCAAATCCCATGGGTGGCTTCAGCCCCCACCTACAGGATCTGCAGGGCCCCGCCCCCCTCCGAGGGGGGAGCTCTGGTGCATCAGCACACTGAGACGTTCCCCTTTGGTTCAAGGAAGAAGACAAGGGGACCAAGCAAAGAGCACTAACATGAGACAGAAAAGAAAATTCTGAGAGAAGGAATGGGAAAAGATAGTTGTTTGAGGAATGGGATGGTCAGTGAGGACAACAGGAAGCTGAAGCCCCCAGTCCCCATGACTCTAGAACAAAGAGGTCCCGGCCACCCCTCAGTCACTGGTAGAGGTCGCGGAGTCTGGCAGCCCCAGTTCTGCTGGGTCCTGTCTGTTCATGGTCGCCAAATGTTACCTGACTCAGGTCCTTTGACCCCACAGTGGTAGAGATGAGACTAGACCCCAAATATAAAAGCACAGGCAAAGCTTTCTTGGGGCTCATGCCCCAGCATGGGGGCAGGGGGCAGCACAAAGGAAAGAACGCTCAGGCCTGCTCTCCAAGGAGAGGTCAGGTGGAATATTTTTTAAAGGAACTTCAGTGGGAAAAAGGTGCCCTGTAGGCAGGGAGAGGTGGGGGGTCATTAGCACCTGAGTGCTCACAGGCCCTGCAGCTTGGCTAACTCTCCACCCCGGGCATAGTTTTTAGTATTCTCATGAGGAAAAAAGTCGGTGAAAGTGCAGTACTGGGGTCCGACTTGTTGAAGACTGGTTTGCCCTGGACTGGGCTTGCTTCTTAGCTGGTGCCTTGCTCTGCCAGGAAAGCCATGATGGCCAGCAGGCAGCGGGGAGTTTTCCAAGTGCACAGGGGCTTGTCCCCAGGGTCCCTGACTGTCGCATGTTTAGGCTGCAAAACCTGGCAAATGCAACACCTCTTCTTACCTCATGATTTCTTTTTCTAGCTCAAGCCAAGAAAATATCTTTTTTAAAAAAAAGTTCATTTAAATAAAATTATTATATTATAAAAATATTATAGATTATAAATATTATATTTATAAAATATATTATAAAAATAAAAATTATCTATTAATAAAACATACTTCCCTTCTATGACTGAGGGTATGGTATGGATCCGGGAAGCTTGGGAATTACTGTCCCACAGCTGTGTGCTGTGGGGAGTAGCCCCCAATGGAGAGCAGAGCTGGAAGGCGCTGTTGTGGCCACACACCTGCTTCAATGAGGCCCAGGTCCTTCACGGATCACTCTGTTGAGGCCCTCGCAGCTGCGCTTGCCTTAACCAGCGGCCCCCTGCTTGCTCGACATGTACAAAACCTGCCCCTCTCCACAGCTCTTCAGGAGAGTGACCGGCAGGGAGAGAGGACCAGTTGTGTAGCGATATCCACAGCGCAGTGGCACTGTGTCGTCACCAAGCCACACCAAAGCACCAAGGCTGACCAGTAACAGCTCTTGCTGTGTGGACTAGTAAGAACCGTTCCCAGTAGCCTACGCTCCTTTAATTCACCCCACGGTGAGCCTCCTCGCCACTTTCCATTTGCACTCGTTGTCATCTACGTCTCAAGGTTTCTTGGACAAAACACCAGCTCCTACATTTCTGCAGCGTGATCACATCTTGGAGCATGCAGACCTAACGCCCGCTGCCCCAGAGCTTGCCCTGTAGTGTTTTTGGCATTTATGAGGTCTGGGGTTCCTGCTCTCTGCAAGCATGATAGCTCCTAAAAAGGTGTGTGAGGGGGTGGGGTCACCTGGGTGTCCGGTAAAGCCTCTGACTTTGGCTCCCATCATCCTCTCCCTGTCCTGGGGTGAGGATGCCCTGCCCTGCCCAGAGATTCCCTGCTTAGCAAGGAGTCTGCTTGCCCCTCTGCTTCGGCCCTCCCCGCTGCATGTGTTCTCTGCGCCTCTCTCAAAATCTAGAAAAACAAAACAAATCAAAAGTAAGGGACCCTGGGTAAGCTGTGAAAGTTCCTCTCTCTCTCTTTTTTTTTTTTTTTTTTAAGATTTTATCCTTTCACTTGAGAGATGGTAAGAGAGAATATGAGAAGGGGTAGGGGAGAGGGAGAAGCAGGTTCCCTGCTCAGCTGGGAGCCTGCCCTGATGCAGGGCTGGATACCAAGACCCTGGGATCATAACCTAAACCAAAGGCAGATGTTTGACTGACTGAGCCACCCAGGTGCCCCGAGAGTGTCTCTCTTAAACTCAACCAGTAGAGAAGTTATTCATCCCCCTGTTCCTATGAATAAGTGAAAGAGCCCAGAGTGTGTAATGGTTGGTGTTATCCTCCCTGATGTCCCTCAACAAGGAGACACAGAGCCAGGAGAAATGATGACCAGCTTCGGTACCTGAAAATATGTCCTTTCCTTTTGCTTAGTTTTGCGAACTTCCAACTTCCCTATTCGGAAAAAAATAAGTCTCCTTTAAAAAATAAGAATAGAAACACTTTCTCTTTGCTTTCCCATCACTTAACCCTGAAGGAGCTATAGAGTGACAAATTTCAACATTTGACACCTGCAAACAAAAATTTTAATCATACTTTCTTAACTTTGAATATTGTTGGTAAATTCAAGCATCCATTTACTTTATAATCTAGTCATGTATTCAACAGCCATATACACTAGGAGGAAGCTGTATGTGCAGGGTTAAACACTGCAAAGTTATTAAAAAAAAATTCAGGTATGATTCCACCTTCAAGGAAGATCTAATTTGTTAGAGAAAGGAAGATACAAATAGGATTGTAAAATAACATCAAATGATGAGCAAAATTAGGGATTCATAAGTTCCTATGGGCAAACCAATAAGAGTCCATCTTGGAGCATCAGGGAAAAGTCATGGAGGGTGAAATGGATGAACTAGTCTCTCCTGGAGGGGGATCTTTGTGCCCGACAGCGGAGAGACCTGTCCGTGGCGAGACCTGTCCGTGGCGGAAGAAGAACATTGTTTCACGCAACATGCACTCCTACAATTTTATGCACTGCTCTGAACCAGACAGCTGTAGATCTTACTTGCAAGGGAGAGAAACAAATAATAAATGAAGGAATACATACTTAATACAATGTTAGGAAGGGGTTGGTACTATAGAGAAAAATAAAGTCATCAAAGAGCAATTAATGAATTCATGCTCTTCCCATAGAGTGGTTAAGAAAAACTTTTTTTTTAGAAGGTGACCTTTTAGCAGGGATCTGAAACATCTAAATCTAAAATATACATGTCTATGGCATATGCATTACATTTCTATCTTATTTGCAGCATTCAATAGATTCCTGTGTTTCAAAAATTTAAAAAGAATAAAGGAGTTTGCTTTTAAAAAATAACAAATAAATAAAAGAAAAAAGCAGAAATCTCCATCCCTCCCATGGTTTCTAGCTACTCAGCGAATAACCTGTGTCTGTATCTGGAGAAAACTTGTAAATATCATCTGGAGAAAACTTGTAAATATCTGGAGAAAACATTGTAAATGTTTGGAGAAACATTGACACTTGTAAATTGTAGACTGGAGAAAAGCTATTTCAGGCTAAAGAAATAGGGAGTAAAGAAGCCCAGAAGCCAGAGTTCCTTTGGTAAGTTTGAGAAAATGCAAGAGCTAGAGCAAGGAGAAGAATCCCAGGAAATTATGTTACAGAGGCCAGATCATGGAGGGCTGGTGGGCCACAGGAAGGGATCCAGATTCATGCAAAGCGTGGTGAGAGGTTGTTAGGAAATTTTGAGCCCTGGGATGATCTGATCTGATCTGTTTCTTAGAAGTTCACTAAGCAGTATACAAAACCGGCTGTGAGAGAACAAAAAGGACAGCTGGCAGGCTAGTCAGGGGGCTATGGTACGAGTCCCAGTGAGAAAGGAATAGGACTTGAATGAGGGCAAATATGTAGAAAAAATGGAGTAATCTCGCATTCTCCTTTTGAGTTAAGAAGTAATTAGCTACGTAACAACAGAATGAAGAAATACCTAGAGAAAGTTGTTTCTTTGTTCATTCAGATTCATGATTTCAGTTTTCTTTGAAACTTTTCTCTTGCACGTCAAAACCATCTGATTGGGCGCCTGGGTGACTCAGTGGGTTAAGCCGCTGCCTTCGGATCAGGTCATGATCTCGGGGTCCTGGGATCGAGTCCCGTATCGGGCTCTCTGCTCAGCGGGGAGCCTGCTTTCCTCTCTCTCTCTCTCTCTCTCTCTCTGCCTTCCTCTCTGCCTGCTTGTGATCTCTCTCTCTGTCAAATAAATAAATAAATTAAAAAAAAAAAAAAAAACGTCCGATCACTGTCCCTAAAAGTGTTAAGTCCATGTTTGGAATAAATGAAGTCATTTTGCAAATTCAAAAATCTAACAAAGTGTAGCGCACAAGTAATCCGTTTCATGGAGACTTCAAACCTGATGATATCTAATAATTGTTAATGATGCAAATTATCTACGTGGCTTATCCTTTAAACTGTCAAGGTGATTTTATGACTTTTTAAAAATTAGACCGTTGAGTAACTTTTTTTAAGAAGTTGTCCATCCCTTCAGTAATGGCCTATCCACGAGCACCCCGATTTCTTTGTATCTTCTTTAGACGAGGCATGATTAAGAAGTTAAATGGAGAGTCTCCATCAAACTCATTTAATTTTCTGTGGTGTTGGAATAAGTGTGTTGGCCCCTTAAACAGATCGTGCAATATTGCTTTTCAGATCGAGGGCTTTCTGTCCAAATGCACCACGTCTCAAAGGAGAGGATAGCTGCTGAGCTTTGGGGCTATACCGTAGGAATGTAATTTGTTTGTTCAACAAAGCATGGCAGCTAAACCAGTAGAATTGTTTGTTGTTTAGTCTTTCTTATTAGACCATGTTGTAAAGCTCCGAGGAATGTCGAATGCTAAAATGAATTAAAGCGCATTTTCTTCTCCCCTCCTAGATCTTTCTGAATGCAGAAAAAATCCGGCTGGGGAATCTACCGACGGGCTCTTCCTCCTCCTCCTCCTCGCCGAGCTCCTCAAATTCCCGGCAGACGGTGTACGAACTGTGCGTCTGCCCCAACGGCAAACTTTACCTTTCTCCAGCAGGAGTAGGCTCCACGTGTCAGTCCAGTAGCAACATTTGCTTGTGGAGCTGAAGTGACTGATTTCTCCTCACACCAGAATAGCCTTTTGTTCCTGTCCGTCTGCTTCACAGTCCCGCTCGGTTTCCCTTGTGATCAGTCCAGAGCTGCTTCAAATGGTCCACAGAGCAACTTCTTCCAATGCAAGCAGGGGTTCGCCGCCACCTTCTCTCGGGATTTCCTGTGCTGCTCGAGGCAGAGTGTGGGTGACGGGACAGTGGAAAAATCGTCTTCAGCGGGAAAACTGGATCATACCTTTTGCTCAAAAGGGAGAAAAACATAGGTGCCTTTGCTACATGAAGTGAAGCACACAGTTTTAGATTTTTTTGCAGGACCCGGAGATGAACTGCATATACATACATTAATTACATAGATGAAATTCCCAGTATCCAATGGCAAGATGAGATGGTTGACCCTGTCAGAAAACTAATTCTACAGCCTGAAAGCACAATTTTCCAATCGTTTTTTTTGGATGTAAACTTTTATCCCCGAATTTTAAAATTTTCAAGCATTAGATGATGCTTGCTTTGCTAAAAATTAAATTCAATACATGATTTTTAACAAAACGAAACGAAACAAGACAGAATTCCACCCTGAGTTTTGTTTGTTTCTTTGAATTCAGTGTGTTGTTACTCTTTGTCTACTAAGTCTAGAATTTTGTACATTAGGTAATTTTGAAAGCACTCAGCAATATAATCTTTACAGAATTAACAGAACACCATTATCCTGTCATTTGTCAGATCTGAATGGCCTTATATAGTATTTACTTGCTTTTGCATGTGACGTATTTGCTTTTAACGAAACATCTAATTTATTGCAATATAAGATAGGATTAAGAGGGGCATACCGATGGTGTGGAATCCATAGTTTTTTTTAATTCACATGCTATCATTTCCGTGAGGTTCTCATAGTACAACTTTCTGTTGGCTCCATTCACTTTATATTTGACTCTGACTGCTAAAATTCAAACATATCTGCAAAATAAACAAATTACTAATGTGACGCATTTTGCCGAGAATGGATTCACTTTCCATTGGAATATAATCTTCAGAATTATATCTATGTATTTTTTAATTGGAGGTCAAGAGTTAAGGATGGTAGAAAATAAATTACAAATCCCTGCTTACACAGTAAAAAATATAAATGTTAACAAATATTGACTATGTGTTTGCTCCATTAGATTACTATTTTCAGGAATTTAGTCCTATTTCCTTTCAGCTCTTAATACTTAGTTACCTTGATTAGACTGTTAAGCTACCCAGCTACCCTGGCATCAGAAATCATAGCTCCTTCCATTCTCTACTGCTAATTTTTTGTAAATTCGCACTAGTAACTCCAGAATAATGTAGATTCGTTTATCACAACAACACTCCTTAACTTGAATTCTTGAAACTTAGAGAATCCAAGAATGTAAAATTGAATTAAATATTTCCTATTATGGGAAGATGACTTGATTACTCTAAGGTAAGTCCTTAATTTTCACCTGTTAGTCACTTACTTTCCCCTATGCTCATTATTGCAGGTATATGGAAGCTTCATTTTGGGGGCCCATGAACATAGAACCTTTGAAATTCAGGCCTCTGTAGCATAGAGCAAAGTGGGAGATGGGAACTTGTTGGAGTAATTTGTCGAAAGTAGGAAAATTAGATAATGCAAGGAACAAAGTGAACCATTTGGCCAGAATTATCTTGTTTAGATAACCTAACATCGAATGCTTGGAAAAGCTCCATTTTACTAAAACACATTCTGTATCCACCAAAAAGTCCAAAAGCTAGTGCAGTTTTATCACTTTTAAAATAGAACTTGACTTGTGTTTGTGGGTTATCATAGAAAACTTAAATAAATATTGGAGAAAGAATTTATATGCAGTTGCTTAAAACCTATCATAATGTAAGTGTTCAATTTATTTAAGTTGGAACAGTAGAATTTAATATGAGAAATTCTCACATTGGTTTAGCAAAGTACACAAAGTATAACACAAGAAATTTCGAGAAATTATGGGTGCTAATCACTGTTATGGACCGTTTACAAAAACACTGTGTATTAATTTGAGACATATTCAAGTTCTAAACATCCCTAAATTAAAACAATTAGAAAGGTTTTTTTAGTCAAATGGAAACAATTCTTTTGATTAGTAATTAGCACCCTTTCTAATCTCAGCTCTGTCTTCTACTAATCAGTGAGCTGATTTAGGCAGTCTGGGAATATCTCCAGACTCCTGTTTTACTCCACTATACAACAAAAGTATCGGGTCTACTGGTCTCTTGAGAGCTCTAACATGTTCTAATTCCAAGAGCAAAAATTCTAGGTGGTGGAAGGGTCCACTAAATTTTAAAATCCTGTGTTGTAAGAGGAGAAAAGTCAAGAGAGAGGAGACAAATGCCATAAAATCCAATTCTGGTGAGGGGCTGTCAATTTCAAGTTCAAATATGTTCTGAAATGCTAGACACAATTCGAAAGAAATATATGTTAAGAGATTTAGACTATGTCTAAATGATGTAAAAATATCTTTGATTTAGTAGAAATAGTGATACAGGTGCCTCTGCTATCCAACACTGGGCAGTTGGTTGAAATTACTAGGCTGGCTATTTTAAATTCCTTAGAATCTAGTTATAGACTCAGCCTCAGAGTTGGAGGTTCTGTCGAAGGCACAGAAGATTGCTCCTACAAGTCCTTCATTTCCTCATAAACGAAGGTTTGGTTCTCTCCTACTACAGAGTTCCCTTAACTGTAGACTGTGAAATAGATTCATCGTCTGTTTCTCCAGTAGGATTTTTCTGTTACAACCTATATAAATAGCGTGCAGTTTACGCAGATGCAAATTTCATCTTTCCTAATTTAAAAAAAAAAATTCCTTTGGGTGTAATACATGGACTTTAAACTTTGTATTGAGTTCAGCTGGAGAAGGCAGGAAAGGAAGAAGGGAGAAAGTCAAGCAAACCCACAGGCAGAAGGGATAAAAGGAAGGAAAGGGATTGACCATATTTCTAGCATTTACATTTTTAGCTGGGGATGAAAAAGCAAAGTATCTGAGTTCTGTTTCTGGGGAGTTAAAGGAGAGAAGCAAAGAAGACACATTATCCCTTATGCTTTTAGAATATTTAAATGAGACACTCTCAAAAATATTTCCAAATTTCCTGTCTTTTTTCACTCAACATCTCCAAAATTTCTACCCTGTATTTCTTGGTCCTATTTTTTTTCTTATTAGGAACCACAAGCTTTCTAATTTAGTGCATAATTAATTATTTATTGAAGGGTTCAAGATAATTTTATACTTCAGATTTGATATTATCAGGAAATCTTAGATTTCAGTACCCCAAATCTCTGAAAATGTATCCTGGAGTTTCATTTCTAGTTCTGCGCCTACCTACTCATGTAACCTTAAGAAATGTACTTCCTTATCTTGACCACAGTTTACTTACCTGTGAGAGGGGTACAGCAAACTAGAAGTTTCCTCTAGTTTTCATCTCTAAAATTTCACTGATTTCACTTAAGAAGAGACTCAGCACTCTTGAGTTCAGTAGCTTAGTCTGAATTAGCATTACGGATCTCCTTCTATACCTTAACCTGTTTCTTGTTGGAATGTTGAAATGCACATCTTTCTGGCATCCTGCTCCTTACTCCTTTTTTCTATATTCTTTCTTGTTCTTACTATGTGAACATTAATGTCCCTTTCATAAATAATATGTCATTGAGAGGCTTCAGGAATATGGTTGACATTTTAAAAAGAAAAGGATGTATTTGGGTCTTATTGAAAAGAACTACTTGGGAAATTAATAGAGATATTTACCAAATATTAATACTCCGTTGATCATTCTGTTACTACTTATCCCCATCAAACTAAAAAGCTCTGGTCTTCTGAAGAAAAGGTAATTTGATCACAAAGTTCAGTTGCTGACTTTTTATAAGATGCTATGCCATTCAAACTTCCTGCATTTTCTACCATCTGAATTTCTCAGTTGGACAGTGCCTCATTTTATTAAACTGGTATTTGATACAAGAAAACTCCAAATGCATCGTGTCACTGCAAACATGCTATCTCCATATGAGACAGCAATTGGTAGAAGGCTGGAGAGTGTTTAATGCTTTTAAGTGCTATATTTTATAACAGCGTCAGTATCATAATATTAAATTATTAAAATAGTTGATATTTAATGGCCAAATTTTCTGTACCACTATCAAAGCCAAATTCATGTTTGAGTTTCACATGAGTAAGGCCTTATAACCTTATTCTTCCAGTAGCTTTGGTCTAATTATCATTGCTCATGTGACCATATTTAAAGATACTTGGAGAAATTTTCTCTCTGTAGTAGTGTATATGATAGCAGTGAATATTACAAAATATCATCACAAAGTAAAACGTTATATTTTTATTTAAAACAATTATAAACTAATGAATGACCTCATTGAACACTGTTATTCATATTTTATACTGCAGTTCATTAGTTATTTAATGTCAAAGACCAAAGACTGGGATTTCTATTGTATTTAACTCTACAACACTATTGCTTCTACTAATCAATTTAAATGAATAGGAGGGCTTATAGTTATAACATGAGGTAGTAAACCTCCTCCTGGCAGGATTCTGAGCTATAGATCATTAACTAATGTTTTGGCTTAAGAAGGAAAATTTTGTTAGCATTGTCCATTTACTTTTTATACATGCATAATAAACTCCTTGATATTCATAAGACCAGTCTATAAAGACTATATCCTAAAAATGGGTCCAGGCTGGATTGACTCAGCTGAGTTTAAACTTTCGTTGCATGGTAAAAATTCTTTGGAGAATATAACTAATTTGAAATACCATTAGAACCAGAGGGCTATTTTTTAAGTGTTGATTGAAGCGGTTCCGCTCTTGGAGAAAGTCAATGAACAACATGAAAGGAAATGAGGTATAATGAACTGTGATCCTTTGTTTTTGCAGTCTTAATACCTCATTTGTCTGAATGGTTATAAATAAAAGCCAAACAGGGTTGAAGATGTGCAAGGACATTCACTAACAATGGAGATAC